TTCAGTGGAATTCACAATCATGGGAAAGACTGCTGACCTGACAGTTGTGCAGAAAACCATCATTGACACCCTCCACAAGGAGGGAAAGCCTCAAAAGGTAATTGCAAAAGAAGTTGGATGTTCTCAAAGTGCTGCATCAAGGCGTGTTAATAGAAAGTTAAGAGAAAGGGAAAAGTGTTGAAGAAAAAGGTGCACAAGCAGCAGGGATGACCGTAGCCTGGAGAGGATTGTCAGGTAAAGGCCATTCAAATGTGTGGGGGAGCTTCACAAGGAGTGGACTGAGGCTGGAGTTACTGTATCAAGAGCCACCACACACAGACGGGTCCTGGACGTGCTTCAAATGTTGTATTCCTCTTGTCAAGCCGCTCCTGAACAACAAACAACGTCAAAAGCGTCTTACCTTGGCTAAAGGAAAAAAGAACTGGTCTCTTTCTCAGTGGTCCAAAGTTCTCTTTTCTGATGAGAGCAAATTTTGCATCTCATTTGGAAACCAAGGTCCCAGAGTCTGGGGGAAGAATGGAGAGGTACACAATCCAAGATGCTTGAAGTCCAGTGTGAAGTTTCCACAGTCTGGTTTGGGGAGCCATGTCATCTGCTGGTGTTGGTCCACTGTCTACTTTATTAAGTCCAGAGTCAGTGCAGCCATCTACCAGGACATTTTAGAGCACTTTATGCTTCCTTCAGCAGACAAGCTTTATGGAGATGCTGACTTCATTTTCCAGCAGACTTGGCACCTGCCCGCACTGCCAAAGGTACCACAACCTGGTTCAGTGACCATGGGATTACTGTGCTTGATTGGCCAGTAAACTCGCCTGACCTGAGAATTTATGGGGCATTGCCAAGAGAAAGATGAATGACATGAGACCGAACAATGCAGAAGAGCTCAAGGCCGCTATTGAAGCATCCTGGTCTTCCATAACACCTCAGCAGTGCCACAGGCTGATAACATCCATGCTATGCCGCATTGAGGCAGTAATTCATGCAAAAGGGGCCCAAACCAAGTACTGAGTACATATGCATGATTATACTTTTCAGAGGGCTGACATTTCTGTATTTAAAATTCTTTTTTTTTTTTTTTCTTTTTTTTTTGGAATATTCAAATTTTGTGAGATTTGGGGTTTTCATAAGTTGTACGCAATAATCATCGAAATTATATCAAATAAAGGCTTGAAATATCTGACTTTGCATGTAATGTGTCTATATAATATTAGTTTCACCTTTTAAGTTGAATTACTGAAATAAATTAACTTTTGCACGGTATGCAAATTTTTCACCTGTATATTATGTATTTGTGGTTGTGAATCAGCCACAGTTGTAACTGTGACAATTCATCTGAATCACAAAGATAGAAGATTCAAGCTCTTCTATCACGTACGTACAGTTGATAATTAAAAAAATCCAGCATCACTCCTGCTCATCTGTTTAATGCTATCCAGCTAAATCATGACAACATACCTCACACACATTCAACACTGATTAATATTTGCTCTGAAATATTTTTTTGTTGTATTATTCTTAGTCTTGTGTTTCCTTCACCTGTGCTCCCCCTCTTTCATCATGTCATGACACAAAGCATCTGAGGTTGATTACAGCCTTTATGTGAGCACTTTGGTCTGCAGACGCACTGTTGTAATTGATTTTACAAAAGTTCCTCCACAGTTGCAACTGTAACAATTCATCTGAATCATAATGCTTTATGCTTTCAGGCCTCGTTGGCGCAGTAGGCAGCGCGTCAGTCTCATAATCTGGAGGTCGTGAGTTCGAGCCTCACACGGGGCAGGTGTTTTAAAGTCATATGACAGCAACGCAATGTGCAAAAACTGGTGGTACATATTGTTAATGCCAGTGGGTTTACATCAAGATGTTGAGAATGCAACAAGTCCAGCAGATCCATCATTAGTTCTTTGTAGTGATAGACCGATTAATCAGGCCGATTTCTGGAATTTGAGATAATCTGCATCGTCCGATCCCTGCACTCATGAGGCCGATATATCATCTTAAATGACAGCAGCTCTAATCTAAAACCATCACTGGCTAGAGTTGAATATATATTGTTATACTGTAGAGAATAATGCAGCTGAATGACGTTGCTTGGAAAAATGAACCCCACTCTCATTAAACACCAGTCATGTTCTGAAATCTGCAGCATAACACAATGTATTTTTCTGGCCAGTGTTCAGGCCTCGTTGGAGCAGTAGGCAGCGTGTCAGTCTCATAATCTGAAGGTTGTTAGTTCAAGCCTTAATGGGGCACATGTGTTTTAAAGTCAGATGACAACAGGATGGACAGTGATTGTACATATCGTCAGAAGTGAAGTGGGAGTAGGTTTGCATCAAGATTCAAGCTCTTCTATCACGTACGTACAGTTGATAATTTAAAAAATCCAGCATCACTCCTGCTCATTTGTTTAATGCTATCCAGCTAAATCTATGACAACATCCCTCACACACATTCAACACTGATTACTATTTGCTCTTTAATGTTTTTTTTGTTGTAGTATTATTCTTAGTCTTGTGTTTCCTTCACCTGTGCTCCCCCTCTTTCATCATGTCATGACACAAAGCATCTGAGGTTGATTACAGCCTTTGTGTGAGCACTTTGGTCTGCAGACACACAGTTGTTATTGATTTTACAAAAGTTCCTCCACAGTTGCAACTGTAACAATTCATCTGAATCATAATGCTTTATGCTTTCAGGCCTCGTTGGCGCAGTAGGCAGCGCGTCAGTCTCATAATCTGAAGGTCGTGAGTTCGAGCCTCACACGGGGCAGGTGTTTTAAAGTCATATGACAGCAACGCAAAGTGCAAAAACTGGTGGTACATATTGTTAATGCCAGTGGGTTTACATGAAGATGCTGATAAAAACCCTTATCGGTCAACCAGTGTTTCTTTGTTGTTGTTATTGCTCACTTTTAATATGTGAGAAGAGATCCAACTGCCTTGTTGGCATAGTAGGCAGACATTTTGAAAACCAAGTTCCTCCACAGTTGAACCTGAGACAATTCATCTGAATCACAAAGCAGGTGATTTCATGCCTCGTTAGTGCAGTAGGCAGCGCGTCAGTCTCATAATCTGAAGGTCGTGAGTTCAAGCCTCACATGAAAGGTGTTTTAAAGTCAGATGACAACTCAAACAGGTAGACCCTGGTGGTACACACTATACTGCCTAAAGTAGAGTGCTCTATTTTATTATTGGATGATTAATGACTTATTGTGTTGTATCTGGCCGCTAATTTAACAACTTTCTGAAAATAAACTATAGCAGTGCATTTTATAAGCTATATATCTTTTTTGGTGCATGTAATAGGTTTACAAAGTCCACCCCAAAGGGAGTTCCCATCTCCCACAGAAAACTCTGCTCTGAACTGCTTGAAAACAGCTCGTTTGTAGTCCAGCCTTTACTTCCCTTTCTTGTGATGTCACAATGAAAATACGTGTCATAATGCTCGCTGAGCGACTAGTCCGACACGCCCTCAAAAACACCGGTGGAAAAACACTGAGCTGCAGCACACCTCTCCTCTCCCTTCCAAACACTAGCTACCCTCCAGGCAGTCAATGGACATAAAGTTGTTACTGTGACATAGAGACAGAGCTCAGTTAAAACTTTATGGATGAAAGATACTTTTGTTACAGATTAATAACTCACCACTCTGAAACTCTTGCTCCAGTCCATGTTGCCAACCTGGTCGGCAACATGTAGCCTACAGTTGAATCGAAGCGGTTTACTGTATTTTCGCTGACCCGCCTTTCTCTGCTTCTGATTGGCTAGTAGTCCTTAATTAGGAACTGCGCATGTGCAACTCCCAACAAAGTTCATTTAGAGACAAGATGTATCACTCCATCGGTAAAATGAAGCCTTCAACACACAGGGTGAAAAGAGGAGCTGCAGCAATGTGCAGTATGACAAAGAAATATGGTGTTTTTTGAAAATTAAACCATGTAAACCTGTTTTGCTACAACCCCTAAATAGGATTTTGAACCTGAAAATGAGCATATAACCATCTCTTTACTATGTAATCTGCAAAGCAATAGCTGTAAATACTTGTACTTCACTTGAGTATTTTTTTCTCATTCTACTCTACATTTACTCTACTACAATTCAACAGGACAGCTTTAGTTACTAGTTACTTTAAAAATTAAGATTTCTGCATTCAAAACATATGAAAATAAGAAACTACAGCTGAAATGATTAGTTGATTGAATTGATTGACCGAAAATTAACTGACAGCATGACTTGCCCATTAAAGTCAAGAAAAAACATGTTATGGTCCCAGCTTCTCATATATGAGAATTTGCTGCTTTTTCTATTAATTACTTTATCTTTTAATAATGTTGAGGTTTGGACTATTGGTTGGACAAAACAAAGCACTGTGAATATTTTTTGGACTCGAATTTATCCCTATTTATCACTATTTTCAGATTTCTTTACAAACTAAACAATCAATCCATGAATTGATAAAATAATCATTAGTGGCAGTCCTATACAAAAGAGTTAAAGTAGCTCCAACACAACCCAACTCCAACCCAATACAGTGTTAAATTCTGCTTTTACATAAAGGCATGAGTGATAATAATCTAATGATATAATATATAATAGTGTTTTTCCGCATTGAGTACTTTTACTTTTAATACTTTAAGTTAATTTACCTGATTATATTATATATTTTACTTAAATAACATTTTAAATGCAGTAATTTTATTTCCAAAACAAACGTGTTTTTTTTAATTGTGTGGTACTAGTACTTTCCTGAATGTTCGAATACCTCCTCCACTACTGATTTATTTTGACTATTTGCAATGAAACTAGCAGACACATTTAACCTCAAAAGCAGCATTGGCTCTTATTTTCTTTGTAAATAAACGAAATGTATTTTAAAAAATTATATTGTGCCACAAGAAGAGATAAACACACACATTTAAAAAAAAAAAAAAAAAAAAAAAACTGAGGTGAGGATGCAACTTTAGCAGGACCATAGCAGGACAACATCGCTGATCAACTACAATTCCCATGATGCACTCGGCAGTCACACCCCTAGGAAGTTGAAAAATCCCAAAACTTGGCAAAAAGAAGCTTTGAGCAGCAGATAAAGGTAAGAAATAGATACGTACATGAAGGAAACAGCAAACATTCACGAATATGACATTTATTCGGCACTTTTAGCTAACTTTGCTAACAGCTAACTCGCTGTAGTACACCATGGCGTTTTATTGGATCCACGTGCTGTGTGTAATGAGTGTGTGTGCGCGTGTATGTGGCGTGATAACACACTTTGCATCCAGTACAGGGTCAGTCGGCAGGCTGAGAGCAGAGGAGACGCTTCTGAGTTCTGCTGTCCTGAACCGACTGGGCTCCGGCTATTTCCTGCTTATCATATCCACTTTACACACACAGGTAAGTGTCAGAATAGCGTGCTTTATGTGCTAAAGTTCTCAATCATATTATTTTCATGCAAAAGCAGAATAGATGCATTTAACTTGTGCTTAAACAGTTTGTACAGAAAACCGTTACAGTAAAGTGTGATTTTTAGTAGCTTATTGATCCTCTAATTTTAGTTAAATGTGCAAGAATGCAGTAATACACAGATGATAAGAAAAGGAACATTTTAAAAGTACAATAAAATTATATAGCATATGTTTCTTTAAGGGATGTTTAAAATAATGCATTGTCAGACTCATGTGTTTGATTTGCTCTCTGACATGTGAGTCACATGAGCGGAGTGATTTTTCAATCAAAGCCAGTGGTTTGACTAATTATGGAACATGTGCATCCACTGTGCAACACTCGCCCCTTTGTGCTGTGTCTGTTCCCACTAGTGTTCATTCCAGCTATTAAGACGATGTATCTGCACACAGGTCTTTACTATAGAAAAAACCATGCAACTACACAATCCTCAGAGTTCCAAGTCATAGGTTTTAGACCACTGCGGATTGGGATGGTTTGAACTCTGACCCCGGTTTGTTTGAGTTGATGGCATTGGAAGAGTGAACAGAAGTCTTTGCCGTTTCTTTTCGGCTGTTTTCATGTAAGCTTGTGTACAATCTTAGCGATAAAAGTAGAAATTTGGACATTTTTTGCATAAAAGTGAATTTAGTGAGTCTTTTTGTCTTCTAATTTGGGAAGTTCAGGACCACACAAAAAACTCCAAAACCAGCCAAACTATTCAGGTTTTTATCCCAGTGACGAGATTAAATTGATCCAAATGTGTGGCAATATGAGGGACACTGTGATGCTGTATATCATGTTTTCCTTCAGATAAGAACATTGTGAAATGCCCTCAACAGTTAACAGTTAAGTTAATTAACCGTACAGTTAATTATAATTTTTAAAAAAGACTTTAGATGGTTGCAAAAATCATAATCAGAATAAGAGAAGGTCTTTACTTGCTTCAGTATATCTCTCAAATGTGCAAATAATTAAAGAAATACTTTCTTAAAAGAAATAAAAATGCGATCCAGTCATTGCGTTCAGTCAGTGAAACACCCAAAGAGAGCGACACAGCCAAATTACTACACTGCCAAAATGAGGCTAAGGCGAGTGGTTTACTGTGTAATGGCTTTGTTTTTCCATGCAAATGAGCCCCTGTTTGCAGTTGCCTTGCCTGGTGACCATGCCGTTTAATTGTTGACTTGTGTTTTTGTTCTAGTTGATTGGATCCGTGTTCGCGTGGCATTGTGAGATAATATAAGAGCCCAGGCCTCCAGGAAAGGTCAACGCTTCCTCACAGCTTAGGGAACTCCTTTCGTTATAGGTCAATCTTTGCATGCAATTAAATGGGTACTTTGTGATGAAAAGGCTGTTCTGTCGAATAGCCTTGAAGGAGTGAAGTGGTTGTAATGCTACATGCTGGGGTTTGTCATTTCCTGGTCACTCAGGTACGATGGCAGAGAGGGTGCTGGTGGTTGGCAGTGGTGGACGGGAGCACGTGCTGGCCTGGAAGCTGGCCCAGTCGCCGCAGATTCAGCAAGTCCTTGTGGCCCCGGGTAACGCAGGCACGGCCAGCTGTGGGAAGATCAGCAACTCTGGTAAATACAAACACAAAGTCTCTTTGGTTCAGTGTAAAAAATAAAGAAATAAAAATGAAACAGTTTATTACACCTTGAAGTTTATTACATTTCTATTTATAAAATGTGGTGTGTAGTAGAACATTACAAGGTTCAATTAACAGTCCATTAAAATATCAGAGAATTATAAAATCACAAATTCCCAGAGCCCAAGCTAACATTCAAGTTTCATGTTTTGTCTGACCCAACAGTCTAAAACCCAGAAATATTTGTTTGTTGTCCTGGGAGAATACAAAAACTAGTATGAAGTATAGAATAAATATGTGAATTTCTTGGCTTATTTGCTTAAAATATAACTTAAAGGAATATTTTGATTTGAATAAACAACTTTCCCAGATTGTCAGTTTGTCCCTTTTTAAACAACAAATAATAACCACTAATTATACTAACCAATGATACGATGAATCATTACTGCACTACAATCATTATTTAAATATATTCTCATATCGAAGAAAGAAGTGATAGCCATAAGTGCCTTTTAAACTCAAAGAGAAATGCAATATAAACATTTTCCTTTTACACCAAACTCCCTCTGGAAAGTTTGAGCTTTATGTTTTAATAAATGTAGCACTAGATACGTTCACATAGATATGTCTGAATTATTGCATTGATTGAATTAATGACATAATTAGCTTTAATAGCATGTCAAATAGGCCATGATGATTAAAGCATCAGGCAGCTGAAGGCTGTAAATGAGCCTCTGTCTCGCTGTGTTTTTCTCCGTGCAGAGGTATCTGTGAGCAACCACACCATCTTGGCTCAGTTCTGTAAGGATCATCATGTGGGGCTGGTTGTAGTGGGCCCTGAGCTGCCACTAGCAGCAGGTAAGTGAACTACATTACATTAACTCTTTTATTCATTTTATATTATTGGATTTTATGAGCAAGGGGGTATCTTTCTCCTTATTCTCTTGCCCTCAACTTTAACGCATCTTCCAGGTATTGTAGACGACCTGACGGCGGCCGGGGTGCCCTGTTTTGGCCCGTCTGCCAAAGCGGCTCAGTTGGAGGCCAGCAAAAGCTTTTCCAAGGCCTTCATGGAGCGCCACGGCATCCCCACCGCCCGCTATGGCTCCTTCATGGACCCCCAGGACGCCTGCAGCTTCATCCGCACGTCAGTACAGTAGACAGACACGACGCTTCTATCTGTGGAAGAGTGTATTTTATGGTCATAGATGGATAGATAAAAATAAATACATGATTAAAAAGAATTATGCACCACAATGGCCAATTTCACATACATTTCAAAAATATCTTCGAATACAACAATAAAATACCAGTGCAGTTATTTCACATTAAAAAGACTGATCCAGGATCCCTTTCAGTCTTACATTTTGTTGGGATCACCCTGTCACTGAGAGCGCTCTGCCGAAACACCTCCTAAGGCATGAAGTGGGTGCATGTCATTGTTCATAATAACATTCATTTTTCTCAGCATCCTCACCTACACCACCTGCTCGACTCAGTCCAGTGTGATGCCAATGATGGAACTCGCCTTTGTAGTCAGTTTATTGTGTCTGTTCCTGATGGGCGAGCGCCCCCACCCAGCACACCACACCGAAGAAGAGAGCGCTTATATTTTATAAAGAGACAGTACAATATTTGGTGTGCCACCCCTTTGCTGTTAAAACGGCATCAATTCTGACTTGTCGTCAGGTGTATGAATAAACTATAATGCAAAACAGGTGCTTATGATCATAAATTCAAAATATAGGTTGTAACACAATAATTAACTGACACAAAAACAGCTGTGTAGGAGGAATAAACTGGGTGAGGAAGAGGCAAACTCGGGTGAGGCTGCTGAAGACAGTTTACACGATGCCAAGACTGAGCACGGCAACGAGACACAAGGTAGTTATACTGCATCTGTCTCTGCCAGGCAGAAATGTCAATATTTATCAAATTACTTTGGTAATTGATCATTATAATTTATTAATCAATTAACTATTTTTTGAAAACATTATCCTTTTTAAAGCTAATTAATAAATGAGGTAATAAGCAGAGGGGGAAAGCGCTAAACTCCAAACTGAAGTGTATTGTTTTATGGCAAGAAAATAACTTTTTTTTTTTTTTTTTTTTTTTTTAACCAGTTTTGATTTTCAGCAGGAAAGTTTTGGACCTTGTGGTTTTTTTTTATCTTTTTTTCCCAGAGCCATTAAACACAAACAACTTCCGCCATAATAGAAAATGAAATCTTTTGTTTCTCAGATGGTTTCATGAGCTAATGAACTAAAATGTGATGATTGCATTTCTTACAAGAGTGCCCTCAAAGAAGTCACAGAAACCGATCCGCCATAAACAGAGTTGTAACTTTTACAGACAAAGCAGAGGAAAAAAGCTTTTATACTGAGAGAAAGTCATTTCTTTGGTCATATAAACCATCTTGGGCAGAACAACAGCTGCCACATTCTGTCAGCCTTCATCCATATGGATCCCAAACACATTCCCAAACAATACTGTGTACTGCAAATGTTAAATGGTCCACAAAAAAACCAACATATTATGGTCCATATTGGCAATGCGGCATCTGTTCCAGATGTGTTTTCTATGAAAAGATTAAGCTTACTGCATAATACTGACGTTCATTTTACTGTTTTGGGCTCTCCAGGGCCGACTTTCCAGCATTGGTAGTAAAGGCCAGCGGGCTGGCAGCAGGGAAGGGAGTCATTGTGGCAAAAGACCAGGACGAGGCCTGTCAGGCTGTGATGGACATCATGAAGGTATGGGACTATTGGACGTGTGTGTGTGTGTGTGATTGTTGATCCTTGGTCATTAAATTAGCAAGAGGGGAAAGAAAATGCCCTGCAGTGTTTAGCTGAAATGTTTGGTTCATCATTCAACCACACATTAAGATCTGGCAGCTGACCACAGATCAGTCCCACTAGAGACACCGTCTGGACAGCCAGTATGTTTCTAGGCTCAAACTGTATTTAAGTTTCTCCCAACCAGTCTGTGGATTCAAACCAACCACTCTCTTTTGTTGGCTGGAGTTTAGACATAATAACTCAATTCTGCGCTGAATATTATTTTCTAGCCAACAATTCATTTTATTTACTTATTATTTTTGTAGTCTCCTAAAATAAAATAAAATAAAATAAAATATGTGCTGTGCTGCAGCCTCAGGGCTCGAATTACCTGGTTGGTCAGTGGAATAAAATCTGCCTGAGTCTCAGATGTTGGGGAGATGTGTTCGGCTCTTTAAAATAAAAAATCTGGAAAAATCCTTAGTTTCCTCGTGTTCAAAAGTAAAACTGTGTGTTGCAGGACAGGGCCTTTGGGTCTGCCGGGGAGACTGTGGTGGTTGAAGAGCTGCTTGAGGGAGAGGAAGTGTCTGTGAGTAGAACATTTTTAATGAGATCCATAACAGAATTGAACCACTTTACCTTAAGGTGTGCGTTAACAGAAGATTGACAGAGCGTTAATCCTCCTCCACCTCGTCTTGTAGTGTCTGTGTTTCAGCGACGGCTCCTCGGTGTCTCCGATGCCTCCAGCACAGGATCACAAGCGGCTGCAGGATGGCGACCTGGGGCCAAACACTGGCGGCATGGGGGCCTACTGCCCCACGCCTCAGGTACACACTTCCTCTTCCTCCCAGCCTAGTTCTCTTCTAAGTTTTGTTGGAGACCGTATTTTTTTTTTTAGGATTATAGGAACAGTCCACATGTGTCTGCTCGTGACTGTGCCGTTGTCTCTCAATCCTGTGCAGGTGAGCCAGGAGATGCTGCAGCAGATCAGAGAGACAGTCCTTCAGAAGACTGTGGACGGGATGAGGGAGGAGGGTGCTCCTTATGTGGGCGAGTGTTCCCTCTCTACTGGAGTCAGATGGCTCCCCTGCATCTGTTTTTATGTTTGCAATGAGTTTCTGGCTTCCGATTCATGAGCCTGAGACTTATCACAGATTTTCTCTTTTCTTATTTTCCAGGCGTGCTGTATGCAGGGCTGATGTTGACCAAGCAGGGGCCGAAGGTCCTTGAGTTCAACTGTCGGTTTGGAGACCCCGAGTGTCAGGTGGGTTCCTTTTCAACTGTCATCTGTCCCTGCATCTTCTCATAAGGTAAAAACTAATTATCTGCTGTCACTCTCGCAGGTGCTACTGCCACTCCTGAAGAGCGACCTGTATGAAGTGATCTTGAACACCATGAATGGCAAACTGGCCTCCAGTGCCCCCGTGTGGCACCAGGACAGCTCTGCAGTCACTGTGGTCATGGCCAGCGCTGGTTACCCGGGCTCCTACAAGAAAGGAGTGGAGATCACAGGTACACATGATGCTGCAGCGCAGGGTTAGCCATTAGAGATAAATGAACTTTTTTTAAGCTTTAATCATTAGGCCTTGACTTTATAGTAGAAGGGAGTCCTGTTTGAACGGTTAAATGGCAGTCTTAAATCCTGCAACTGCCCTTTGACACTGTCTGCCAGGCTGAATTCCAGGTCAAATAACCCAATACAAATAAAACTTTTGGAAAGGCCTGGTTTCTTTATTTCTTCTAGATGTGCATTTTTGTTTCCTTGGGAAAAAGTAGAAGCAGAAATGCAATCTATAATTAAATGTTTAGAATGTAAAATATCCATATTTGCAAACATTTGTTTCATCTTGATTTTCAGTATGAATAGGCCTATATAGAATTGAAAAATTACAATCAAAATATGAAAGATACTATAACAACAAATGGCAGCAAGATATTATAATCATTATCAAAATATGTAATATTATAATATATACTTTTGATATATTGAACTTTTTATGTAGCCTATGTATGTAGCACATATAGTCATGTATGCATTCATTCATTCATGGATTCATTTGTCTAGGATTTGAACATTTTTGACTTTGACCCATCAGAAAAGACTGGTGAACAGCAATTCAAGAGGGGGCACAGAATTAATGAGCTGAAGGCTACACCTATACTTTACCAGCTTTCACTGTGAAGAACTAGGGAAAAACCTAAGAAGAAGAAGATACCATAAGAATAATTTTACAGTTGTTATAATCATATATCATCTTGTGCTGAAAATACACCTCTGTTGATCCTCAGGCTTGTCTCAGGTTCAGGACATGGGGCTGCAGGTTTTCCACGCTGGCACCGCCCTGAAGGAAGGAGGTGTGGTGTCCAGCGGCGGGCGGGTCCTGACTGTTACAGCAGTCAGGCCGTCCCTGGACTTGGCCCTGCAGGTGGCCAATCAGGGCGTGGCGGCCGTGGGCTTCCCGGGCGCCGTGTACCGCCGCGACATCGGCCACCGGGCCATCACCCACCTGAACCAACACAGGTGTGTGTGAAAGTAGTACAAGATAAAAACACTAGAACATTCGTTGTTTTTTTGAATTGTGTTTGTACCCATTACTTTTTTGTAGTTTTTTAAAGTTTATTTCTGTACTGTATATCTAAATGAATAATAAACTTCACTTTGGATGTACCTGTGTCCCAGTATTTATTTAAATTACCAAGCAAATCATTATATTTGCACATACACTTAGCATCTCTTAATCCACAAGCGGAAACCTGCTGATTTTAACACTTTGAAGCCTCCCTCTTAAGACGTATTGTAGCTTCAGCTGTAGACAGGTGTGATATAACACTGAGAATAACGGTCACAGCTCATCAGTTGAGTGACCGGTACTTCACTGTGTCTCTGACAGAGGTCTGACCTATAAGGACAGCGGAGTGGACATCGCTGCAGGCAACAAGCTGGTGGACATGATCAAGCCTCTGGCCAAGGCAACTTCCCGCGCTGGTAACTTCTTTCTTGTGTACAAAAACTAAAGACAGAGCGAGAAAATACTTTCTAGTACATCTAGATAATAATTAGATGCTTGTATCTTTCAGCGATAACATGTCAAACAACTGTGTTTTTGATTGTTTGTATTAGGGCTTCTGAACTTACCTCAAACACTTTAAATTAGAAAGAACGGATGAAACAGTAACCATGACTGTAATTGTTTTTGGTTTTCACCAGGGTGCAACGCAGAGCTGGGAGGCTTTGCTGGGCTGTTTGACCTGAAGGCAGCAGGTTTTGTGGACCCGATCCTGGTATCTGGGACGGACGGAGTGGGGACCAAACTGAAGGTGGGACCTTAATTTCTTCATCCCCCTTTTTTTTGGAGGACAATATGGCAGATCTCTAGCAATGTTCATGATCACTGTTTGATGTGAGCCATACATTGAGAATATGTGTCACCCTTTGTAAAAGTCCTGGAAAAAATGAGAATCAATGAAGGCACTAAAACATCGACTCACTCCAAATTGGCTTTGTTAGATGTGACATCGGCCAAGAAATTGCTATTTAAAATTGGGTCCATATTTGGCTCAGAACTAATGAAGCAGCGAGGGATATATGCTTATCTGTAGACGGATTCAAAGGCTTAGACTCAGGCTGCTTAAAACCCCTGAACAGAGAGACAGATTTCATTAATTTTAAGTGTGAAAAGATCCAGGATTATTTCATGTACACTAGGAAGCATGTTCAGCGACTCCAGAGTGCATTTTTTGAATTTTGCACTTCAGTTTTTAATTCGTCGAGGTGCTGAAACGTCCCTCAGGTGATCATACCTGACAATTGAATTTCAAATATCCAGCAAAATATCAATCTCTTCTCTGTTGCAGCCCCCATTGTGTCGTAAAACTAATCATTGTATTTAACAGAAGTCTTTTCTCATGCAGCTTTAATGTTCACCAGTTTAATTTGTCATCAGATTGCGCAGGCGTGCGGCCAGCATGGCGGCCTGGGTCAGGACCTGGTGGCCATGTGCGTGAATGATGTGCTGGCTCAGGGCGCCGAGCCACTCTTCTTCCTTGACTACTTCTCGTGCGGCAGCCTGGATGTGGATGTGGCTGCCACGGTGGTTGGCGGCATCGCTAAGGCCTGCGAGATGGCCGGCTGCGCTCTGCTGGGTGAGATATATATATATATATATAGATATATATATAGATATAGAGATATATAGAGATATATAGAGATATATAGAGATATATAGAGATATATAGAGATATATAGAGATATATAGATATATATAGAGATATATAGATATATATAGATATAGATATATATAGAGATATATAGATATAGATATATAGATAGATATATATACGAGATGAATAGTGTGTTTATTTGTATTTTGGCGTCTCTACTCAGAAAGAGGTCTTGTATTACCTCCTGTGATCTAGACTTCCCTTCTTGATGCCATATTTTATCTTTTTGTGTCCCATGTCCAGGTGGCGAGACAGCAGAAATGCCCGGTGTCTACGCTCCAGGAGAGTACGACCTGGCCGGGTTCTGCGTTGGAGCTGTGGAGCGTGGAGCCCTGCTGCCCAGGCTGGGGGACATCGCCGAGGGGGACCTGCTGATCGGGATGGCCTCCTCTGGGGTCCACAGCAACGGCTTCAGCCTGGTCCGCAAAGTCCTGGAGAGGGCCACCCTCAGCTACAGCTCCCCTGCTCCTTTTGGCAAGTCAGGACAGACTGTTGGTGAGTATTTGTTGATGGGAAATTATTGTATGTACAGAAAGAATATGCTTAACAAGAAGAGTTTTCTATTTTGAGCTACGCTAGCAGACATTCATGTTTCCCACAATATGAACTAAAACTTTGGTGAGCTGATTTTTCATCCAGTGTTGCCATCAGGTCAAAATCACTTTGGTTTTCAAATGAATTCCTGCAAAACTGACATTCGCATCAGCCTCAGCTGTACTTTGTGTAATCAGCAAATGTCGGCATGCTAATGCCCTAAGAACATATTAACCATTCCTGCATAACATCAGCATGATACCTGTCACCACAAGGTTATTTAAAAAATGTATCTAGCTTGCTAACAAGCTAAACTAAGTATTGCTAATCATAAATAAACTAAAATAACATCACACCTGCTAAACATAATGAACAAAAGACAATGCTTAACATCAACATGTTAGGACTGAATATTAGCATTTAGTTCAAAGCACTGCTTAGGAACAGCATGTCTGTAGACTGTTGGTAGTCTTGTTTGAACTTATTTTGCATAGACATTCCCAAACAACCAGTAGCCTCAGTAGTTGTTTTGTTGGTGTGTTTTTTTTTTTTTTTTTTAAATAGGATCCATGAACTCTGGCGCTTCTTGCCAGATAGTGTCTTAATTTCTTTAATTTACCTCTCTTCATCATCTGCTTTTTGCCAAAAAGTCAGTTTTTGCTGAAAAGTAACCATGAAATTAAGAACAATAATTCATAATTTTTCATTTTTTAACATAAATGTCAAATAGTTCCTAGTTCCAGCTTCTCAAATGTGATTTAAGCCGAATATTTTTTATTAATATTGCTCAATGATGATGATGGACGTCATCTTGGGCTGTGGAACATTGGAACAGGAATTTTCACTATTTTTTGACATTTTAAAGAACAAACAGTTACATGTGAAATAATCAGCAGATGAATCAAAAGAAAATAGTAAACCCTTGATGCCCACCATTTGACTGTAACTGTGGCGAGGTAACTGTCTTCCAGGCGAGGTTTTGCTGACGCCAACAAAGATCTACAGTCGTCTGCTGCTGCCAATCCTTCGCAGCGGTGCTGTCAAAGCCTACGCTCACATCACAGGGGGCGGACTCCTGGAGAACATCCCTCGGGTGCTGCCCCAGGAGCTGGCAGTCGATTTAGGTGAGATGAAAGCACACGGACACTTCATCTTCAAATGCAACACAAGCATTTAAAGATGTTTGCATCAGCAATCTGGAAAGGTGGCGCGCCTCTGGATGAAGCTGCATTTGCTGTGCAATGCTGTGGTTACCTAGTGTGAGGGAGAGAAACGGGAATGAAGACAGTTTCCTGTATAAACAGATTTATAGTTGCATTACCCATGTGCACATTGAAGTCAACGCAAATGTAAACATGAATAAACAGCCCTGTTTTAATATTCATAGTTCCCCTCCCCTTGTTTTAGCGTAGAGGTCACTTTGTGGTTGTTAAATAAGACCGCAGCTCTGTCTCATTAATATTTACACTTGGTGTTTGCATGATGCAGATGCCTCTCGATGGAGCATCCCTCCAGTGTTCTTCTGGCTCCACAAGGAGGGGGGTCTGAGCGAGGAGGAGATGGCCCGCACCTTCAACTGCGGCCTGGGGGCAGTGCTGGTGGTTTCCCCCCTGGATGCTCAGAGGGTCCTGCGCCAGCTTCAAGCCCATGAAGATGCCTGGATCGTGGGTTCACTGGTCTACAAGCAGCCTGGTGAGACACTGAAACACTGATACTTTTTATGAAATATAGCTGGAAAGAAAAGGCGGTAAATACATAATCCCAGATTTATATAATTCTTTATAGAGTGGAAATAAAATTGTGAAAATGATTTTGTCTTTGTGCAGGGGCAGAACCTGTAGCAGTCCGCAATCTGAAACACAGCCTGCTGAATGCAGGACCTGAGTCGTGTGGAGAGTTGGGTGTCAAGCAGAATGGTGGTTGCCATGGTGACAGCAGCACTCCACGCAAGAGGACCAGAGTAGCTGTTCTTATCTCTGGCACGGGTGGGTTTTTTAAAATTTATTTTAAAATAAGAATTTCAGTTGGGAGTGTCTCTTACGTCCATGAAAAGAATAACTCAACATTCTGGGAAAGATGAGTATCAGCTTTCTTGCCAAGAGTTAGATTAAAAGATTGATACCATTCTCATTTCTGCACAGTAACTGGTAACTTCCTGGAGTCCCAGCTGGCTGCATTACAATTGGTCCCGGCCAAGATAGAACAATAGTCTTGATTTGTTTTTTTGTACGCTTCAGTTTCTGCACAGATTAAACAAACAAGACATAACATGTTGAGCTTTAGTGTTCCTTGTAAACAGAGCCAGACCAGCTGTTTGCCCCTTTCCGGTCTTTATGCTAAGCTAAACGGCTGCTGGCTCCAGCTACATATTTCCCGTACATGAGTGGTATCAATCTTCTCATTTCTCCGCAAGAAAGCCAGTAAGCCCAAACTGTTGAACTATTACTTACAAGAGTTTTACTAAGGAGTTCCTTATTTTTTTCTCTTATGACCGGTCTTAAACATCCTTTGGTGTGTCTGTCGCAGGCACCAACCTGCAGGCGCTGATCGAGCAGGCCAAGCGTCCATCCAGCTCTGCAGAGATTGTGGTGGTCATCTCCAACAGACCTGCAGTTCAGGGACTGAAGAGAGCATCGCTGGCTGGGATCCAGACACGGGTAAAAAAAATTATATATATATAAAAATGATTTAGTTTGTTGGTATTACACTATTTGAAAAGCCTAACTAGTGCAGTGATGATAAAGCAAAGTGGTCTTTTTTTTCCTGGTTTTAATTGAAAGTTTGTAGTTGGCACCTATTGAAAGAACATGGAAGTTGAGCCACGAGGATACAAAAGCATGCATGACATCCACTCCTGTTTTTACCATCCATCCACCGCCACCAAATATATGGCCAAAATTACAGTTTACAGTTATTAGTTTTGAATTTGCTGAGATTAAACCAGAAGCAGAATGGACACATCACAAGCATTTAATCAAAGTAAATAAACATTGAGAACCAAAAGGATTAGGCTGTGTAAATGGAGAACAAATCTTTACTGAATAAAAAGCCTAAGTGTGTGTGGACCAGGTGGTGGACCACAAACTGTACGGGAGCCGAGCAGAGTTTGACGGCACCATTGATCGCGTGCTGGAAGAATTCGGGGTGGAGCTGGTATGCCTGGCTGGATTCATGAGGATCCTCACGGGAACTTTTGTCAAGAAATGGAACGGTGTGAAACAGCTGTCTGGACAAAGTTTGCATCATTATATATGATGATCGGGTGGGCCTTTTTGAAATGTGTGCTTGTCTGTTGTTGTCACAGGAAAGCTACTGAACATCCATCCATCCCTTCTGCCCTCCTTCAAGGGTGTGAATGCCCAGATGCAGGCTCTTCAGGCTGGGGTGCGGGTTTCTGGCTGCACAGTCCACTTTGTAGCGGTGAGTATGACATAATATGGGAATAGCACACATCAAACGAAGAGCTGAACGAGTTTGGTTTACTGTGTTTTAGGAAGAGGTGGATGCAGGAGCCATCATCACGCAGGAGGCAGTGCCCGTGCTGGGCAGCGACACAGAGGAGAGTCTGTCCCACAGAATTAGAGAGGCTGAGCACCGAGCCTTCCCCGCCGCTCTGGAGCTGGTGGCCAGCGGCGCGGTTAGGCTCGGAGAGGACGGACACATCATCTGGAAGTCGAACTCGCAGAATTAAAAGAACACAAATCCAGCTCACCTTCATATTACTGCTCATTAAACAGCATTAACAGTTTACTCCTGTTACTTAACACTGGTTTTATTATAGAAAAAAAAATGCAGACTGATAAATAGAAAACACATTAACAAAAATCAAGATATTCACTTTACCACTTTTACCACTACCCCAAACTTTCCTTATTTTTAGGTTGTCAGGTCCTTCATGGCATGCTTTAAGATACATAGACAAAAAATTTGCATTTTCAACTTCTTGTGTAAAGAAGCATCGTACTTGAAACAAAAAACACATTCCAATTTTATCTTCTGAGAAATGTTAGTTGCACTAGAGTTGACCTATAACTCATGGAGGTCCTACATGCGGTACTTGTAATGCTGTCCAGATGTATGTTAGTATAATTAGGGATTTTTGTCTGTATAGCTGAAACTTCATTATTAAACCTGCCTGGGTGAATGCAAGGAGTCATTTTGTGGCAATTCTGTTTTTATTAATGTAGAAATACTCTTATCAGTCCACCAAAGTTCTTGTAATCCTTTTTTAGCGGGTTTCATAGTAGCAGTTCCATGTTTGTCAGCTCCTATGGAAGCGCAGAACGGACAGCCTCTCATTTCCAGCTCTTGTAGACAAGCACGATTCTCCCCTCAAACCACATTTGCCCAGTAAACAGATGATCTCCTCTGGTAAGAAAAAATTAAAATGACAACTCCTTATCCAGACAGACTGAATGTTTTCCTGCACTCCAAAGAATCTCAAGGGACATCAGTAAACTCACCCGGATCGTTCTCAGCGATGGTGATGAGGTAAAATAACCCTTTACTGGAGAGCAACTGTGCTACCACAGGCAGGAATCTGTCGGTCACCTCGCGCCCTCGCTCACCGCCGGCCCAGGCAGCCTCTATACCCCTGCTGCCAACCTGGAAGAAAAGCACACACTGTTAATAATATGCACTTGGTCTCTGAAATGAAGATAAAGGGCTGTGCGGAGCTCAACCACCTCTTCTGAAGGGGTGACCACATAGGGAGGGTTGAAGAGAAGGACATCGACTTTCCCACTGAGGCGAGGCAGAAGACACTCCACCTGAAAGGAAAACAGCCCTTAGATATGCGTTTGTGTACATGCTTCTTAAAGAATTCATAAAGCATGTGCATACCTGAAATGTGAATAAAAGCTCACCAGGGATGTGATGACAGGCTGCAGTGACACTTTGTTACAGGATGCTGTCTTTGCTGTGCACTGTGCTGCAGCAGGATTCACATCAGTGCAACTGAAAGAGAAACACGTATGTATTTAAGATTAACGTTAGACTATGACAAGTGTTTTGTCTTTTTTGATTGGTTGCACATGGGGGAAAGTTTGCTTTTCATAAGTGAGTCGCTCACAGGTACAGAGCTGAGGGTCCAACCACTGATGCCAGAAATGCAGACACCACTCCTGAGCCACTGCCCACCTCCAAACACACACATGGGCTACAAACAGCAGAGAAATACCCGGTTTAAAGATTTACAAGGCATATCAAGGTGAACTAAAGGAAATATGTGACGCACTTTAGGTACAACAGGCGAGCCCTGCCTCACCTCATCAGCTGCAGCCTCTCCGCATCTTTCTCCAGAGCGTCAATCAAAAGAAAAGAGTCCTCCGCCGGCTCGTAAACATCCCGGAAGTCTCCTCGTCCAGCGTGGGAGTAAAGTGGCGTGGGATAACTTGTGCACATGTTCACTTCACAGCTGCAGGATATCACTCATTAGTATTAACTAGCCGCCTGCACGTGCTCCTGGCTTGTCACCAGTCCTGTTTTTTAACGCTCGAGTCAGGTTCCCCCCAAAATACCGCTAATATTCAGCACAAAAACTGCATTTTTGCTACCGTGGACAGCGCATTCACATTCCACTTCCGTATAAACGACTTACGTCAACATGACGTAACTTAACCCCTTCTCCGTCAACCAGACTTTTGAATTTTAAGTACATACGTTTGCAAACTGTAATAGTCATGTGGTGTCCGAACAATAATGCTGCGATGATGTGTTGAGAAGAAACCCGCTTGACACTGTTCTTGATCATAAAAGTTTATTACATCAAGGAGTTCAGCATCAATCAATAACAAGCTCTGCAGCAGCTTGGAGAGTGACCCAGCCCGATGGCCACTCTGTCTCTCTGTACATCAAACATAGCTTATATAGGATATGTTTAGGTATCTGTTAGGTACCATAGCAGGGTTTGAGTCTGCAAAATAAAAGGTCAAACCCATAGAAGGGCACAGTACTATTCTGAGGTAACAAAACAAATTCTATAGAAGGGTTCAGTCCCTACATAACCACCAATCACTGCTCTCCCATAGAAGGTCACTGACCCTCTGTCCTGCTGCTACAGTGCTATTTTGAACTGTTATGAGTCAAATGCACAAATATTGCATACCACAGTCATTATGCAGCAGAACGACGCATGTCCGTTATTTTAATATATATTATTAGATTACAATAATGATGCATAAACTTGCAGCAGGATATTTATTAAATGTATTTATCCTATTAGTCGTAATGTACTCAGAGGAGTTCACTGTTTATGCAAGTGTTGAAGAACACAAAGAGTTGTGTCTTACTCAAAAAAGAATCATAGAGACAATTAATTGCCCGTTTAATGTGTGCAACTATTTATATTTTTTGAGTTTTCAGCACTAAGATGAAATAAGTAATAAGTTATGGTCCTTGATTTTTCAAATGTTCAAATGTTATGCAATCCAAATGAAAATCACAACCAACTCTCAATGGTAACTTTAACTACATTAGTTTTTACAATGGAGATAACCCACATGGACCCATCCTGTGATTTTCAAAGAGTTCTCATCTGTAATGTGAATAATAAATACAACAACAAAACAACCTGATTCTAGTTCTGTGTGTAGCAGGGTTCTCATATCTAAGGTTGCCGACCTGTCTTCTGATTTTTCAAGTTTTCCTCATCAGTAACATGGTGAAATAAATGTGAACAATAAATACAACAAACTGTGTGTCGTACACCACACACACCACACAGTGTTTAGTTTGTAGCCCAAACCATTGCTTTAGATATTTAGTCAAAACCAAACAGGTTATTTAGTGGTTTGATAAGGACTTTAAGATTCTACAGTGTTTTCATAACTGAGATTATATAAATTATAAATTGTTGTTTCCTTGCAAGTGGCAATAAGCTGTGAAAATGAAACAATCAGCTACAATAATGGAGAGAAATGGTCTGCTGGCTTCATTAATGCCAATTTAGCCACCAGGCTCTGCAACACCATGAGCAGATTAGTGACCACTTAATACACCTTCAAGCTGAAAACACAAGGACTGCTGGCTCAATAACACATATTTTCCTCATCAGTAATGTGGGAAATAAATTTGAACAATAAATACAACAACAAAACAGTAGCTCTATGTGCAGCTCTGCGACCACAGGTATAGATCACATTATTAAGTCTTCTCCTTGGACTAGGAGAGGAAGCTGCATACTTATATTAAGAGAGCAGCTGATATTTATTTTGGCCTGTCTCCTAAGGAGGTCAGTGTAGTAGGTATCAGTAAAAAGCACTCAAAATTCAGATCACTCATACTGTTCTTACTAAAACAAATTTAAATTAATTTCAAAATGTGAAATTTGTATAGGCCTATTCTGTAAATAGCTTTTTAATGTTTATTGTTTATTTTCATTTTTGTCCTATCTTTCTAAATTATGTTTCATTTTTTCACTGTTTCTGAAACTGCTGCAACATGCAAATATTCCCAGTGCAGGATCAGTAAACTCTTATTTTATTTGAATCATGTCAGGTTCATAAACAATGTCCATCTTACCATTTCCCCCCTGTTTTAGGTGCACACATTTGCATATTTATATTATATATTTATAATATATCTTTAATATAATATTAAATATTCTAAACAATTCAAGTTTGGGCTGTCAGGTTACTTTTGAAACTGAATATTTAAAATAAAAAATGTATTACATTTTTTTTTTTAAAGATAAAGGACAAAAGATGTTTGCAGTTACACATTAACAAGGTCACAGTCATGTTTATTAAATACAAGTGTAACACAAAAAATCTAGCTTGTATTGTTGTGTTACTTTTGTCCCAGCTGACGGGGTCGAAAGTAACAATGTGCCACTTATGTTTAAAGTGAAATTATATGGAAGTCGTTCTACATTTGAACAAAATACCACCTGATATTGATAGACCACACCTGTGAGTTAGTGACCACAGCAAAAATATATCTCTGTCTGAAACATTATCTTTTCAAATCAGGTTTTTCTGAAAAACGTTACTTTCGCCCCCGCTCTCCCCTACAGGTTAGAATCACATACGAGCTCCAACAATAGATAATCACAACGTATGCAAATATCCAATCAGTAATCAATAAAAAGTAGAAGTAATAAATAAATAAATAAAAAGTAGCAGCGGTAATATTACAAAATAGTTTATCTCCAGGCGGCGCCTGGTGTAATGCAGCAAATGCATCTTTAAGTAAAAGACCCCAGCTGGGAGGAGGGTTTTTTTCCCCATAAGCCCCATCTTACAGGTCTTTCAGGAGCAGAGGAGGACACAGCCCCCCTCCTCATCCACTTCAGTGGGAATTATGCTCCAGGTGCCGGGGTATCATGGGCACTGAACCGGGACTGCCGCAGTGCAGCAGGTGCTTTACAAAATGCGAGCGATGCCGCTCTTCCACCGGCTCCCTTTGCATTTGAACCTCTCTGACAGCTTTTCAGTCCACTGCTGAGGAGGTCTGCCTTTGAAACAGAAAACACAACAGAGAGGGAGAGAGGGAGGATTAAACCAGCGATCACAGGTTCTTAGACATTCATGGCATCTGACCCCACCACTGCAAGTTCAACACCATGAACATATCAGTGACCACTAAATACACCATCATGCTGAAAACACAAGGACAGCTAATACTGCTGGCTCATTAATACACATTAAGAAACCATATTGGATTCCAGGAGAATAAAAACCGCTGCTGCTTAAAAAGAGCAACAGCAATTAACTTTTAATCGCAGGTTTATGGAAATGGATTTCCACTTACAGTATGCTTTACATGAAGTTCCCATACTGACTGTGGAACAGTTATTATGAAATATAACAATGGTTCTTTGTTTTGAATTAAAGATTTTAATTATATCAAAATATTTAAAAATATGGCCCAGCTTTAAAAGTGATGGGTCTTACTGCATGATGAATTGAAGAGCTAGAGCTCAACAACACTATACACCAAAGGGACTTTTAACAATGTGTATTCACTATGTAATGAGAAGCCATCGACAGCCTCTACAGTGGCTTCAGATGCAGAATTGATACTTTTCTCTCACACTCTATAGTTAAACATTATAACACATGAGATGAATGAAACACAATAAGTATATTATCTTGATTTACACTGCAAAAAGTGAGCTCTCAAAAACAAGGGGGAAATATTACTGTGAAATGAAATTCTCTAACATAAAAGCCGCCTGGTAAGAAGAAATATATCTTGTCAGACAAAAAACAAGTATATTTTGCCTTCAATTAAGATCATTAATCTTACTTAGATTTTAGTTTGTGTAGTGTAGAGATTTTCATTATTTAGGCTTCATTTTTTATTTAGGCAGGATCTCAATTTCTGTACTTTGCAGTGTAAAAATATTTTGCTGTCATAAAAACCAAGTGAATACATAATGTTACGAGGCTTCATTATATACATGTAGAAATGAATTGTATATAACATAGTGGTAATACTACAGTATATGGGTTAACTCATTGTGTCCTCGTTCCCTTGGTTGGTTTTAAAAACCTCGCGCCACAAGAACAGTTTCTTCCAAAAAGAATCTAGCCTTATCAGCAACAGACACTGACTCCCATACCCCCTTAATCCCCAACTACACGTTAACACGTTAACTGTAAGCATCAACACTCCTGACTCAGTGCTATACATTAACCCAAAACATCTGGACTATGATCTTGCACACTGCAAATATTCTCGAAACTTCATACTGTAAATCTTTTGCACATCCCTGCACAAACATTACAGCTCCTTCATTTACATAACAGTCAAACTGTACATATTATTTTGTATACTCTATTTTATATACATTGTCTATATTTTATATTTATGCTTCTTGACATACAGTATTTTTTGTATATTGTTATGCACCAATATACCAAAGCAAAATTCTTGTATGTTTAAACCTACTTGGCAAAACTGATTCTAATAATATTCAACATTATTTACATTAAAAGATTTAAAGTTAGGATGGTTTGTCTTTTTATAAAACCACTATCACTGTGATCTAATTTAGCTTTAATGACCTGATTCTCTCAGAAACACCAACATTTAATCTAATTTAAACTATTAATAACATTTATTAAAATATACATATCGCTTTGGGATGTTTATTAATACATTAGTTGATTCAAGTGCCAGGTTTATTTGATACAGCCCTTAAAACATATATGATCATTTCAAGGAATATATCATTATCTAGCCTGTCCAGCATTGGAAGGCACTACTGAATTAAGCTGCAGTGCCATCATCCGAAGCACTAGGGGTCGGTGTTGCACAGGAACATGGCTGCTAACGACGTTGAAAACAGAAGAAATATCGTACCCAGGAAATCTGGCATGACGGTTAATAACACTTTAAAATATTTGTATAGCGTTTACATTTAAGAACTTTTCTGTACAACATGTTACGGACACGGTGTCTGACCGGCGGTGCCGTTTTTAAGGTAAACACCCTGTTTCAGGCACTAATGAACTACTTTCCGTGTTAGCTAATAGACAGACAGGTCAGCTAGCTGCTTTAGATTAGCCACTTATTTTAGCTGGCAGCACCTGACATTTAGGTTTCCTATTTGTGCATAAGGTTTCTGCATT